GTGTAGCCGTGGTCAAGGTAGCCGTGCGAAGAATGCCGTGGTCGATGTCGAGTCGGGGTAGCCGGTGTTGAGGAAGTCGTCGTAGAGCCGCGGGCGCAAGGGGCCACCGAGTTAGCATGGGCGCAGTGGTGTCGAAGTAGTGGTGCGTCGGGAAGAAGATGTTGCTGACGACGCGTCGCGGCGGGTTTGCCAAGCCCGGGGACACATCGTAGACGAAGGCACGCACTGGTGTTGCCAGTACCGGGCATGCGTAGACGGACGAAGACGAAGGAGGTGGACGGGCGGCAGCGGCTACGTGGGTAGCGGCGGCGGTGACCAAAGAAGAGCGGTGGCGGCGGCCTGACGGCCACAGCGGCTAGGTTAGGAGCGCGGCGGCGGTGTTCGAAGTAAGCGAAGAACCCGACAGCATGACGGAGACCGGCGCGGACGATGACGTTCCCGCGCCAAGGGAGGCGGCGCGGTGCATACCACAGGAAGTCAACGCGCGTGGACGACAAAGTGGACCGTGGGCCGCTGCGCTACGGCCCGAAGGGGCGACACAACGACGGTGGGCAGGTCGGGGTGACGGCGGGAAGACCTCAGGGCGGCGGCAGGGACCGCAGGCCGCAGCGCGAGAACCCGAATGGGCGGCGCGACGGAGGAGCGCGGGTCGGTGCAACCGCAGGGACAGCCTCTGGACGGCGGCGTGGACCGCGTGCCACGCTCTCTACGGCCCGACAGGGCGACACAGTGGCGGCGCGAGGGTCGGTGCGGTCACGGGGACGACCTGGAGTGGACGGCCTCTGGACGGCGGTGGACCACGGGCCACGGTACTACGGCCCGAAGGGACGACGCAGCGGTGACGCAGGTCGGTGCAGGTGGGAGAAGAACCACGGGGCGGCGGCGCTGCGGCCCGACGGGGCGACGCAGCGGCGGCCCATTGCTCGATCAGTAGAGGGGCGCGCTGAACTCGGGACGGTCTTCACGAAGCCCGCGGAGGCGCGCGTAACCGACGGGCCAGGTCGGTCGCACAGCGTAGATGAGGCGGATCGCGGCGGCGGACGGGTGATCAATCCGATCACGCGCGAGGTCGAGGATGCCGTTCGGTGGAGGCGCGGTGGCAGCGGAGTCCGAGATGAAGCCAGCAGCGGCAGGCGGGCAGGGCGGCTATGATTGGCCGTCACATGGCGCGAGGCCGCCAGGTCGGGGCGATGCAGGAGTCCCGGTCGGAGCAGGGCGGTGACGGCCGGCGTAGATCGACGGGCGGGCCGTCGCGCGAACGGCGATGGTGAAGGGCCGCCGCATGACGCGAGGCCGCCGGGTCGGTGCGACCGGCGGGTCGACACAAGGACGCCGCGCGAGGCCGCCGGGTCGGGGCAACCAACGGGCAGACGCGCGAGGCCGCCGGGTCAGTCAAGAAGTCGGCCGATCGCGCCGGTGTTGGAGTAGAGGTGCACGGGGTCGACGACGGTGGTAGGCAACGCAAACCGGATCACATAGATCGGAAAATCAAAAAAACCGGGAGAGAAACCCCGGATTAAAGGATCGGGAAAAAATTCTCTAGGGCAGCCAGCCAACACGGCCGGGGGATGAACCCTAGGTACGGGCGGCGCGGCCTCCGGCGGCGGTCATGGAGGCCGACCGTCCGGGGGCGACGCGCGGTTGCAGAAGCGGTGGCTAGGGTTTGAATCGTGATTAGGCTGATACCATGTTAGAAGGGAAAAAGGATTGATAGAATAATTCATTGTATTGCTTGAGCCTCGTGGACATATATAAGGCAAGCGAGAATATTTCCTAGTCTAACATATGCTTCCTAATATAATCACGTTACTCAACACTTAACATCGCTCACGGCCTGACGCGACGTATTCTATTTTTTGGTACAAGCTGGATCGATGAGCAGTGGTTGTACATTCGTCTTCTCCTCATTTTTTTGGTTGCAGCAAGTGAGAGTAGAAGATAGAGCTCAGATTGGAGACAATGTATGTTCATTTCTCTTTTTCTTTCTTTTCTTTTATCTATTTCATTTTCCCTATTTTTCTCTTTTTTCTTTCTAGTCTTTTTGTTTCTTTAATACTTTTTGTCGGTTTCCATTTTTTAATTTTGGGGTGACAAGAATATGTAGTTCTTAGTTAGATGAGATTTAGTTTATCTTGGCTAACAACATACCATACTAGTTTCGGTCGCATTTGTAATATGATAAAACAGAGTCGTAATTGCATGTTTTCAAAATGAGATCGCAACTATAAGTTTTTAAGTCAGGCCGCAACTGCAAGTATTTAAATTGGGATCGCAATTGCAAGTTTTAAAATGGGGTCAAAACTGCAAGTTTTTAAGTCGGATCACAACTGCAAGTTTTCAAATTGTTATCGCGATTGCAAGTTATTCAATTCATGTTGCAACTGCAAGTTTTGAAGTCGGGTCGCAACTGCAAATTTTCAAATTGGGATCGCAATTGCAAGTTATTCGATTCAGGTTGCAACCGCAAGTTTTGATGTTGGGTCGCAACTGCTGAAATTTGAGATGAGCTCTAGGCCCATATAGCAATTTTTGAAAAATCTCTAAGGGCCCATGTGGGTTATATGGCACTAGGTGTAGTGGAAAGTTTAGTCCCACCCCGCTAGTGGAAGAAGAGTTAGAGTGGTTTATAAGGGTTTCTCTTCTACATGCTATTGGAGCTTGAGAAGAGAAGAGGCCCTCGCGCACTCCTCCACCGCCCGCCTCGCCACGCCACGACGCGCCGCGCCGCGCCGCGGGTTGCGGGATTGAGCCGAGCCGAGCTCACACATACGCACTTATTTTTGCCAGTTACTAACGGAGAGTTCTTTGACAGCTGGGCCACGATCTGAGACGTCGGATCGTGGGCTGTCACGGACTCGGACGTGGGTCTCTCCACATCTGCTCCACGCGCACGCCCACCGTCGTTCCCTTACTGCTGTTGCCGCCGGTGACTCCATCCCGTCCGCCGTGTACACGGTCGACGGGAGAGCAGGTCTTCGAAACCACGCCTACTTCCTCTACGTCTGCGTCGCCTTCATCATCACCATGTCCACCGACGTCGAACGTGCCGCCGCCAAGAAAGCTGAAGCCGACAAGAAGGCCGCCGAGGACGCCGATGCCGCCACCAAAGCCGCGGCCTCTGCATGGCCTACTGGAGGGTATAACTCGTTTATCCCGCTCCTACTACTTTCTGTTTAGCCATGCTAGCGTTATACGTAGGTCTTTCTGCAATTAGCGTAGTATGTGCTAGCTTGACTGAATATCAGTATGTGTTTATTTGTGTCAATGCCGTGCTAGTGATTTACTCTTGGATTAATTTAATCGAGAAATTGCCTATTTACTCAACAATCCAAAAACCTATTATGTGTAGGAATTTTTCGGCAAGTGGCTTTGCCGCTGCACTGAAACCGGATAAGTTTACGGTACATACTTTAAGCGTTGGCAAACTAAGACCACGTTATGACTCACGGCTATGAACGTGTTCTGGGTCACCGGTGTCTCCACGGGAACGATTGCTCCTGAACAGGAGAAGGTGTTCAAGGAGGCTACCGTTGTGTTTCTCGGAGCAGTTCTTAGCGTGATCGGAGATAAACTGGTCGATGCATATTTACATGTGCATGTCGCCAAGGACTTGTGGGAGGCGCTCGAATCTAAATTCGGGGCCGCCGATGCAGGGAGCGAGATGTATATTATAGAGCGGTTCCACGA